TAGCACCTCCAGCAGCGCCAGCAGTAGGGTCCGCGACACTAGGAGCACCACTCCAGAGACTGTAGCGCCGAGCGTACCACTCTCGGAGCCGCTGGGGAGAGGGCAGCTCCCGCCTAGGCGGGGACGCACGAGCACCAGCTCCAGCAGCACTCCGAGCACTGCAGTACTGTAAGTACCACTCACGTAGCTGCTGCGAGGAGAGAGCTCCTCCAGGTGTAGCACGCTCAGTCTTAGCACCCCCAGACTCAGCACCCGCAGGCTCCGCACCCCCAGGCTCAGCACCCCCAGACTCCGCAGCCCCAGGCTCCGCACCCCCAGGCTCAGCACCCCCAGACTCCGCAACCCCAGGCTCCGCACGCTCAGGCTCAGCACCCCTAGCAGGACGAGAGTCGACAGCTACCTCGACAGGCTCAACCGGGTCTACCTGGGACACACCTGAGGGAGCGGCACCCTGAGGGGGGAGGGGGTCTACCACAGCAGCACCTGGCACGAGGAAGAGAGGCGGGGGGGGGAGCGGGGTAGTGCGGTAGGGGAAGAGGCGGTAGTAGGGCACCGACTCGTCAAAAGTGACGTCCTGAGAGGGGAGGACACGGCGCGAGGTGGCGTGGTAAAACCGCCAACCAGACGCGTCCGGGACAAAGCCAAGGAAGACACAAGGAACAGCGCGGGAGGAGAGCTTGTCCGCGGACGTATCGCGAACAAAAGCTCGAGATCCCCAGACCCGAAAACGCGACGCATCGCCAACCTCTCCCGTCCAACGCAGTGTCGGCGAAGTCTCCGGAGCGGAGACACGGGGCCAGAGGTTGAGCTGATGCGCAGCGTAGCGGACCGCAAACGGCCATAGAAAGTGGGGGGCAGCCGCATGGATCAAGGAGGTACGAGCGATCTCCATGACCAAGCCAATGCGGCGCTCAGCAACCCCATTCTGCTGTGGAGAGGCCGGAAGCGTGAACGACTGGCGGATGCCGTGCTCCGCACACTAGGCTGCCAAGAGGTCGGAGGAGAACTCACCACCTCTGTCAGAGTGCAGACGCAGGACAGGAAAGTCCGAGTGGAACCGCTCGCTGAGCTGGAGACAAGAAGCGCGGATCCAGGGGATCAAAACATCAGGGACCTCACCCTTGGTGCGCAAGGGGAAGACCGTGGTGTAGCGCGAGTAGTCGTCAACAACGATCAGGAAGTACCTCTCCTGACCCTGTCCACGGACGCGGGCTGGGCCCCACACGTCCATGTGGAGCGTCTGCAAGGGAGCAGTCGTCGGGGGAAACGAGGAGGAGTGAGGAGCGGCGCGCTGCCGCCCCTCGACACAGGGAAGACAGGGAGGAGCAGGCGAGGGTGGGAGGGGAGGTAGAACCCTGGGAAGACCAGAGACAAGGTACCGTTCGTGCATGCCACGAAGGCGCTGCACTGACGGGTGACCAAGGCGGTGGTGCCAGAGGACGGTCTCGTGCGCTAGAGAGCGACACGAGCAGGGGGCCGACAGCTGACCTGACGCAGACGCAGTCGCAGCTACCTGAGGGGACTCAGTGGTCAGTGTGTACAGGTCCGACCCCGGCTGCCGAGTGAAGGTAGCCAGGTGACGGCCCGTCCGAGCACACGTGCAGTGTGTCACGCGCTCGTAGGCCGGGGTGAACTGGTGGACACCCGCGTCCTGGAGCGCACAACCCGCCACCAAGTTCGTAGAGAACGAGGGGAGGTGGAGACCTGACAGTGTGCCCGACGGAACCGCAGGACAAGGAAGGACAGTGGAGGAGGTCGCAATGACCGGACCCCCAGAGGGGTCAGCGAGGGAGACAGCGACTGGCCGAGCAAGCTGCTCAAGGGCAGTGCGGTCACGAAAGAAACAGCGAGAAGCACCTGAGTCCAGTGTGAAGGTGTGCAGTGCCTCAGTAGACTCAGTACCAGGGGGCGCAGACTCACGAGCACCTAGAGCAGCAGCCTCACCAGCACCTGGGGCAGCAGACACGCGAGTACCTGGAGCGGCAGCCTTACCAGCACCTAGGGCAACAGACGCACTAGCACCTAGAGCGGCAGCCTCACTGGTCCGAATGCCCGGGTCGGGCGGAACACGCAGGTACTGAGCACCCTCTCCACTAGTAGACAACACATACATGGCAGTGAGAATAGCATCAAAGTCTAGAGCATAGATATCAATGTTTTTCTTCATCAGATCAGCCCAGCGGGGCAGCTCAGTGGCAGCAGGGAACTGAGTACGCCAAGCGTCGTCGAGGCGGGAGAGGCAGCGCTGCGTGGTGTGCGCCCTCCCACACGTCTGGCCAGTGCGGTCACCAGTGCAGATGACGTACGTGCAGCTAAGGCCACCCCCCCCCCCCCCGTGCTGAGAGTACCACTCACGAAGCTCCTGGGACGACGGAGTGTGCTGCTGGCTCTGGCCACTGCCAGCGCCTCCACGACCACCACCTCCGCCGCCACCACCTCGACCACCACCGCCTCTGCCGCCGCCGCGTCCGCCGCCGCCCCCACTACCGCCCCCACCCCGGCCGCCTCCTCCGCCGCTGCCTCCACCACCCCCGCCGCTGCCACTAGCCCCCCCAGCCCCGCCACCGCCCCCACCGCCTCCACCGCCCCCACCACCGCCTCCCCCGCCGTCACCTCCACCTCCCTTGCCCCCTTTGCCCTTGCCGCTGCGGCGCCAGCTCGGAGCGGACGCAGTCCCGACCTGCTCAGTACCAACGAGGTCGACAGCAGCAGCAAAGGCGACAGAGGGGAGAAGGGGGGAAGGGGAACACCCCTCGAAGAAAGGGGTGCGGGGGTCGCCACGAGAGGCACCTACAGCGACTATGCTAGTCTCAGCTGCAAGCAGTTCCTTCTCGAGGAGGTCAATGGTGAGCTCAGTGGGGCAGCGAGCTAGGAAGTGGTCCCTGACTGCACGCAGAGTGTCAGGGAGGCGGGTGACTAGGTGGTAGAGAGTGAGCCAGAGCGGGGGGGGGGGTTCCTGGTAAGAAACTCAGCGGGCATAGCGGCACGGAAGCGGGCCTCACTAGTGCGGAGGTGCGTGATGAGGTCAGCGACTGTGGAGAAAGCTGACAGGTCTGGGAACAGGTAGGGGAGCGAGAGACGGCCTAGCGCAGCAGAGGCAAGTGAGGAGTAGCGTGCAACTACAGCAGTGTACAGTGCCTGCGCAGTTTTGTGTTGGCCAAAGTGCTCGCGCTCATCTACCGGCAGGGAGTTGCGAATAGCGAAGCGAGCGTGGGCGTCACGAGTCTGCCACTGTGAGCGGGCAGTACTGTCAGCAGTAGCAGCAGGGGCAGCAGCATGGCCTAGCGCGTGATCGTACAGTGAGATATCCTCCTTGGCAGTGAGCTGGAGGAATAGGTGCAAGTCATCGAGCCAGATCTCAAACTTCAGTGGGCGGCCCTCAGCATCAAAAGCTAGCACAGCAGGACTAGCCATAGTTGCAGTGGCAGTAGTGGTAGTAACTGCAGTAGCAATAGCAGTAGCAGTATTAGGTGTAGCAGTAGTAGGAGTAGCAGTAGCAGGAACAGTAGGGCGGCACGGCTCTGCCTGGGCAGTGCGGCTCGGTTCGGGCGGCGCGGCTCGGTTCGGGCGGCGCGGTTCGGCTCGGGCCGGGCTACGGGGCAGTGCGCGACGGGGGGGGGGGGAGACGTGCACACGGGCGGCTGTAGCGGGCGGGCCGTGGCCTTGCGTGGGCCTGACTAGCGCGCGGGCGGCCTAGAGGGCGGCGGCGCGGCCTACGGGCGGGGCTGCCGGTCGCTAGCGGGCTACGCGCGGCCAGGAGGGCCCGTCGACGGAGGGCTAGCGGGCGGCGCGTGGCAGCGTGGGCGGCTAACGGGCGGCGCACGCGCAGAAACGGCCGCGCGCGGGCTGCTAGGGGGCGACGCACGCGAGAAAAAAAAGGCCGCGTGCGGCTCTAGTGAGCTGAGCACGGGCAGTAGGAGACAGCGAGGCGCACGAGGGCGCACTAGGAGAAAGGCGCTCGAGGGCGCTTCGAACTGAACGGTGGGCCCTAAGGTAAGCGATCCTAGGTCTAAACCTACGCTCTTAATACCATGTTAGAAAGAAGAAGTGTGGTACTAGAAAGGAATGAGAGTACAAGTACCTAACCCTAGAATAATGTACCTCTTAAAGGCTAACCCACTGTAGCCTACACAAATACAACATATATAATGTTTGACAGTATACTGTCAGGTTCCTGCTAGGTGTAATGTCAGGGGTAAGGTGTCCTGTCAGGTGTAGTCTCAAGTGTGATGTCAGGTGTCGAGTCAGGTGTACCCTCTGGTGTTGGTCCACCGTTTACATTCAGAACAAAGGCCGCCCCCATGCTGAGCTTAGTGCCACCGATACCGTGTGGAGAATGAACTGGAATATGTTTTCTTACATGACACATGGCACATGACACATGGCACATGACATATGGCACATGACATATGGCACATGACACATGGCACATGACATATGGCACATGACATATGGCACATGACACATCGCACATGACATATGGCACCACATGGTCCATTCCGTGTGTGGGTAAAACCAGTTCTCGTGCTGTGATTTGTATTGGAAGTGGCGCAACGCAATGCTGCACTGTAGTTTGCACAGTGCAGTGTGAATAACACATGGTATGTGCGCATATCCAATCTGCAACGTGTAACGTGTTTCATGGCAGGGATGTGGACAAGAATGGAAATTATGCAAGGCCCTTTCGAGTGGGGATGAAGACCGACCGCATGCTGGGCCTCGCGTGTCATCTGGCACATTGTATTATAAATTACATTTCGTTCCTCCTTACATGCATGCCGTATGGCACATGGGTGGGTGGCTGGCAGGGACGTGGACGAGAATGGGGACGACGTGGGGCCCTTCCGGATATGGATGAAGACAGGTCCCATGCTCCATGAGTCGCACCCTGGGGGATCAGCTTGCGCACACTGTTGGGGGGGTCTCTGCCACCCCTGAGGTATGCTCTCACCCACGACATGTACTGCTAGCACGGATCGTGTATGCTGTGCTATGGTCCCATGCTCGGCCTGGCCATGAGTCGCAGCCTGGGGGATAAACCGGCGCACACTGTTGGGGTCTCCGCCACTCCTGAGGTATGCTGCTCCACGTGTGATGTCCTGCTTGCTTCTTTCTGTGTATGTTCGGTGTCGTATTCTCTGCCGCACGTGTGCGTATGCTGTACTCCATAGGTTGCATCCTCGTATTCCATGGCCTATCAGACGCCTCCCTGCTGTTGGGGCTAGACGGCCTTCTCACAACAACTGAGAGTCTCATTTGTCTCACTGTGTCATCCCTACCCCGTCAACCCTCCCCCTGTCCTCTCCTGTCCCGACCCACACCACCCCACTCTTCCCTCCTTCATAGGCGGTTGTACGTCGTCTAGACCAATCAGACGCCTTCTTGGTGCTCGGTTCAGACGGGCTGGTGGAGTGGGTGAGGGATGTGGAGACAATAGGGGTGGTGGTGGCGGCGGGGAGCATGCCTTCCTTCCCCCCTCAACTCAACCCTATCATCCAATCCCTTCGCACTACAACCCATACTCCAGATCTTATCATGTCCTCCTTATCCACTCACCCCCCCTCGTCTCTCCTCCTTGACAGGTGGTCGTGCGTCGTCTCGACCAATCAGACGCCTTTTTGGTGCTCGGTTCAGACGGCCTGTGGGAGTATGTGGGGGACGACGAGGCGATAGGGGTGGTGGTGGTGGGGGGAAGCATAGAGGCGGGAGTGAAGGCGTTGCTGGCCTTGGCTAAGGAGAGATGGCTGACAAAAGATGGGGTGCTCTGGTCATGGGGTTCACACATAGGAAGGTATAGTGGTCTGATAGAGAAGGAGTGGGGGGGAGGAGGGAAGCGTCTGGGCTTGGCTGAGGAGCAGTGGCTGTTCAAGGGATGGGGCGGAGTATGTTGATGATATCACTGCTATGGTCGTGGGGTTCACACACAGGAAGGAGTAGACTGTACAGCGGAGTCGGGTCATGGGGAAAAGAGAGAAAGATGGAAGGGGAATGGGAGATGGGGACTTGAGGGGAGTTACTGTCTGTGAAGGGGCTGCCGTGCTTGGCAAAGGAGAGGTGGCTGTGAATGGTCCTGGGGGGGGGGTATGTTGGAGATATCACTGCTCTGGTGGTGGGGTTCACACACATGACAGGAGGGTTTAGAGCGGTTGACGAGGAATGAGAGGGGGTGAAGAGGGGGTGGCGGGAAGGTGTTTCAACGAGGATGAGAGGAAGAGTGGGTGGAGGACAATGAGAGAGTTGGAGCTTCCAACACACGCCTAGAATCGGAGCAGCCTCACCTTACCTACCTGCTTGCGATCGATCTGGCATGCTTATGTGGTGCCTTCCACAGGGAGATGGTCTGAGAAGCATATGCTTGGTTGCGGCAATGAGTGATCATAGCTATTTATTAGAACTATCGAACAAGTTTTGTCATTGTGTCCCACTCTTTGATGAGGTGCTACAACTCTGGTTACCGTAGGTTATATGGAATAGGATAGAATAGGGTGTTTGCTATTTTTAATTCGCTCATAGTGACATGCAATATAGTACTGTATGTAGTTGCAAGCAAGCATCTCTACAAGCAGATGAAATTAGTCTCATTCCATGCATCACATCACCCACACTAAATGAAGTAACTGGAAAAGTGTAGCAGCGCTGGTTCATCTCGAAACACGATTTCGGCTTTTGCGCGTAGCCGAGGCAAAGAGGTTCGACACCGAAGTTCACGTCCACAAGCCTCAAAGGCGAAGCTTTCGGGGTAACAAATTGGAGGGAGGTTCAGTACGGTACTTAGATGTAGAAAAGTTGTGAGTGGGGGGCAGCTATTTGTGCTCAACCATTGGTGTTGACTGGCTTCCCCCGAGTTTGTCGCTCAAATTTCGCCGCCTCCGTCGTCGCGTAGCGCGGTAAAAAAACTTTGCACTGCCAGTTCAACCACTGTAACTGGCAGTTTTCTAAATGCTTGTGGGCAGTAGCCCGAAATGGTCGTGGGCTTGGACCCCAATATTCAAACTCGGGCAGCCACACGATCTTTGCAAGGGCAAATGAGCACAAAGTTGGGCAGGTCAGGTTCTCGAGAACACCTTGCGCCATTCTCGCTCCCGAGCCTGACCAGCCCAGATCCGAGCCTGAGCAGCCCTCTTCCCTTCCAGACCACCCAGGTGACCCTTTTTGCCTCCAACCCCTCCATTCCCCTACTCGACAGTGCCTAAAAATCTGCACACACAGCATTCATCCAATCATCCTAGCTTGCGCATACTATCAGTTCTAGCATACAGATAAACTCTCAACGTTTGCTCATCTCGTGAAGAATCTGCACTATGGCCTCAGAGTCTGACTACCCGTCGTACTTCAACAACGCTTTTAGTTTCTGGAAGTGCCTCGATAGCACCAAGCCGACGCAACCATCGCTGCAGCCTCGGAGCTCCTCCAACGCGAGCAAACTCCGCCAGGTTAGCAGCCTCAGCGTGACGCCCTGCTGCAGCGAGGCCAGCGACGCGATGCTCTCTTGCGCTGAGAGCTTCGACGACTCCAGCCGCAGCGCCGCCTGCCTTATCGAAGCTGCGGCATCGTTCGGTTTGACGACGTCGCCGGATCCGATGACGTCTGATCCGACGTCCTCTGATCTGTCGATGCCAGATCGGGAAGCGACCGATCTGGTGGCCTCTGTACCGGCTGTGACCTCGGAAACCATCACCTCGGAATGCGTAACGTCTGAAACGGTAACGTCCGAACCAGTGGCATCCAAACCGGTGACGACGCCGACGGCTGAAGTTTCTCCGACGGCCAAAGCAGCTGGCTTGGCGAAGGCAGCTGCGACACGTTCAGTTCATCATGCCTCACACCTGCTGCCGTCTCGCATCCCCAAACCAAGCGGTCAGAGAACGATCGTGAAAAGCCGCGCGGAGGGGACGACGTTGATTCCGCGGCCTGCAGGAGCCGCTGCAGCTGAGAGGCAGGTGCAAAGCAGAAGGAGCTCCAACAGCTCGAAGCAGCTTGACGGCAGGAGTGGTGCCATTTCCTCAGCTGCAATGAAGAAGGTTCGTGCTGTATCGTCGTCCAAGGTGGTCCTGGCTACGAGCTCACGGCGTCTGTGGCGGCCATAAGCACCACTGTGACTCGCAGCAAGCTTCAACCTCGAACGTGCTGATCTACGAAGACTGCACCCAAGGCACAGGAGAAAGGGGACCTCCCAGAGGATCCCGGTGGGAACGGGGACCTGATTTCCTCCTGGTAAAAAAAAAAGACAAAAAAAGGTTAAAAAAAACACACAAAGGCGAAAAAAAAAAAAGCAGCAAAGGAATACTACAGCGGGATGAAGGTGAAAGGTGGAGGACACAAGAGCAGAGCCTCAAGCAGATTTCAGCAGCGGGGAGATGGTTGGGAGGTTGGGGAAGTGGGATGATGGTGGGTCCCATTTTTGCACCCTGCTTGTCAGGGTGTTTGGGAGAGTGGGTTGGGAAATCAGTGGGGGTGGAAGGATGATCATCTGCTGCCATTCGTCAATGACTCTGCTTTGAGTCCTCCCTTCCAGGTTGGCATCAAGCCCAGGATGCTCTTGAGGGGCCTGGAGCGCTCCCCAAGGGATGGCTCTGGCCCGGAGCGCTCCCCAAGGGATGGCTCTGGCCCGGAGCGCTCCCCAAGGGATGGCTCTGGCCTGGAGCGCTCCCCAAGGGATGGCTCTGGGCGGGAGCGCTCCCCAAGGGATGGCTCTGGGCTGGAGCGCTCCCCAAGGGATGGCTCTGGCCTGGAGCGCTCCCCAAGGGATGGCTCTGGCCTGGAGCGCTCCCCAAGGGATGGCTCTGGCCTGGAGCGCTCCCCAAGGGATGGCTCTGGCCTGGAGCGCTCCCCAAGGGATGGCTCTGGCCTGGAGCGCTCCCCAAGGGATGGCTCTGGCCTGGAGCGCTCCCCAAGGGATGGCTCTGGGCTGGAGCGCTCCCCAAGGGATGGCTCTGGCCTGGAGCGCTCCCCAAGGGATGGCTCTGGCCTGGAGCGCTCCCCAAGGGATGGCTCTGGCCTGGAGCGCTCCCCAAGGGATGGCTCTGGGCTGGAGCGCTCCCCAAGGGATGGCTCTGGCCTGGAGCGCTCCCCAAGGGATGGCTCTGGCCTGGAGCGCTCCCCAAGGGATGGCTCTGGCCTGGAGCGCTCCCCAAGGGATGGCTCTGGCCTGGAGCGCTCCCCAAGGGATGGCTCTGGCCTGGAGCGCTCCCCAAGGGATGGCTCTGGCCTGGAGCGCTCCCCAAGGGATGGCTCTGGCCTGGAGCGCTCCCCAAGGGATGGCTCTGGCCTGGAGCGCTCCCCAAGGGATGGCTCTGGCCTGGAGCGCTCCGCAAGGGATGGCTCTGGCCTGGAGCGCTCCCCAAGGGATGGCTCTGGCCTGGAGCGCTCCCCAAACGCCTGCCAGTTAGAGATGGTGATGGCACTTCTTGTGTTAGGCTCATATATATTCAATAAAATTGTGGGTTAAGAAATCTGTGTACTTCATTAGTCCAAATCAGAACAGTGGTTGAGGGAATGAAGGCAAGAACGAGCTAGTGTTTGACTAGTGGAAAAATCACTCACCATAAACATATACATACAAACTCATCCTACTGCCAGATGTGATGAAGGTTGTGCAATTACCGGGAAGGATGCCAGTGCTAGGAGGAAGTAATTTGCTGAGCAGCGCACGCTGCATCTTATTTTCGTCTTGGTGCATTGGGGAAGAAGCAACAGCATGCGCAACAAGTCCAGAGCCCCACAGCTGCAGGAGCGAATACAGTGCTCTGCTCCTCACATTCCTGTCTTTTCAGATCAGTCCTCAAATCCTATTACTGGAGCAGTTGAGTCTCAGAAGCCTGAACACTTGCACGGCTTCATGCCTCAACTGCTGGCCTTGGTGCCTGCTGTGTGCGTTGGAGCAGCAGCAGCCACGGCAACAAGCACCAGAGCCCCCACAGCAGCAGCTAGGGACGTACCCCACAGCACCAGGGGCGTGTGGGCAGCACACCCCGCCGGCACCTCCCATACCAACGCCCCTCCCTCCGCCTCCTCCCGTCTCTCCTCGTCGTGCCTTCCCTCAGAAAGTGCTGCCTCAGATCCCTCCGAGTCTCCTCCCAGCCCTGCTGCTCCCGCCAGCCTGTCCGTTTCCCCGTCTGCAGCTGCTGTTTCTGATGGCCACGTGAGCCGCATGGGAAGGCACTCGCAGCGCGGTGTGGTGACGGCATCACATGCTGCTGAAGGTGATGGGGATGGTGATTCTGATGCCGATGAGGGAGAATCTGGTTCTAAGGATGGTGGGGATGATGATGATTCTGATGCTGGTATGGATGCTGATGGTGATGGCGACGCTGGTGCTAAGGAGGATGGTGTTGATGGGTGCAGGGAGGATGGTCCCGAGCAGGTCGGGGGAGGAGGGAGCACGAGGCATGCTGAAGGCAAGGGCACATGAACCGCAGCGTGTGATTGGCTGCAGCTGCCGGTGATGGCTCGTGAGAGGGAGGAGAGGGTGGAGAAAGAGGAGAGAGTGGAGTGGTTCCTGTGAAAGGCGGCTTTGAGTTGTTGCAAGTCCCATGAAAGGGAGGTGAGGGGGAGGAGAGAGTGAGAGGCGGAGCGGAGGAGGGAGAGAGGGGGGGGTGGGGGGGAGAGAGCTGGCAGCACAGCCTGGCAGAAAGTGGTGGGGAGAGTGGTGCGGGGGAGAAAACATGGCAGAGAGAGATAGTGGATGGAATAGTGGAAGTTGAAGTTACACCTGTGAGAAATCAAACCATTATGCATATGTATATTCTCCGAGAATGAGAAGTGCCGCACACGTTTTACAAATTAGACAAGCATCACAGGTAGTTCGGGTGTGAAAGTGACAACAGAAGTAGGAGACTCTACCAGATATGCAGATGAAAGGAAGTAACACGGGCGGTAGTGGGAATGCATGGTTAGGTACAAGATGGGATAAGGAAATCTTAATGGTAAGAAGAACCGAGTCAACAGCATTCACAGCAAATCGTGTGGTTACAAGGCATGGCGAAATGGTTACAGGGTATCGAGTTTGGTTACCGGGTATCGGGAGTGCAGAGGCAGGCTGAAATCGACTGAGAAAGCAACCTCATCTTCCCCCACATTCACTCCCCCTTCCCTCCCCTCCCCCATGCGCGCATCCCCCTCCCCAGTTCCCACTGGCACGTCCCTTTCCATGAGCGCCACAGTTGCTTCACACCGCGGCGCCGGCTGCTCCAGCTCCACCGGACCTGCCACCCAGGCTCGGTCGCCCTCTGGCTCGGCGGGGAGGGAGGGAGGACGGGGAGCAACGGGGGAGGAGGGGAGTGGGGGAAGAGGTGAGAGAGGGAGGTTGGAGGGAGGGAGGGAGGGAACGAGGGAGAAAGGGAGGGGAGGAGAAAGAAGAAACCGAACAGCAGCAGAATGATTAGAATCACCAGCAGCAGCATCATGGTTACTGGTGATGCCTGTCCCGCTGCGCCCTCTCTCCCCCCCACCCTTCACTGCGCAGCGCACTCCCCCCTCACTTTGCGTCCTCCACCTTTCGCGCGCACGCCCCCCCACCTCACTCGGTCGCAGTGTTCGCTCCGGCTCCGTTCCGCCTCGACTGCCCTCACTGCGCATCCCCCCTGCCTCCCCGCCTCCTCCCCCCCATCCCCCTCCCCCCTCTTCGCGCCCAACAACGGCCCCCCTCACCTGGTCGGAGGATTCGCTCCAGCTCAAACGGATCTGCGTATAGCCCACGTGGAATGGGCTGCTCCAATCGTATCGTGACACGTGTCCTCCCAGCCGCCCCACTGCTTCTCATGCGTTCATCAGCAGTAGTGCAGCTACTGAGGTCGGCTCGCTGCTCCGGTACCGCTCTGCACCCATCTGTCTGCCGCTCCTCATCTCCTCTAACCGCTCTCCCTCCTTCCGTCTCTCCGTCATTCACATTTAACCCGCGACTCCCCATTCTAGTAGCGGACGTTTCTCCGCACGCCACGTGTGCATCGACTGAATGACGTGGGCGGAGGATGTCCGCGCGGCATGTCACGCGGAGCGACGTGCGCAGCACGCGGTGCGCCCCGCGCCCCTCTAGGCTCCGCGCCGCGATCCGCGCGGCGCATGGAGCAGAGGGAAGGCGGATAGAATGCGGGAGCACGAGGGGGAGGAGGGAGAGGAGCAAAACAAGGAGCGCAAATCGCGGGGCCATGGAGCAAAGTACGAAGCGATAGTCGGCTAACATGGGTAATCCGCGATGCGTCGTGTCACTTTCGCCTCCCCGAAAGCGCGTGCCCCGCAATGCTGCCACGCGGCACGAATGTTGCCTACAAGAATACTAAGCCCAGCAGGGACATGGTTTCCGCCGGGAAGCACGCACATCGGAATCTACCTACACTAGAGTGTGGCTCACTCTTCGTTCATAAAGCACCCAAATTCGACATGTGCGAGCAGTGGTTAATATTAGGTTTAAGTCGGTCGCATTCGGTTCGGAGCCTAGACTTCGATGAACAGATGCTTTCAGCATGGGTTTAATGTTGAATACCACGCGAAACCGAATTGGAAGAAAAAAAAGCTGCAATGCACCACACTGGTTCTCCGACTGACTTTGTTCTGCAAATGTTGAACCCTTACAAAGTGCCTCGCGATATGGTTACCACCCCAACGATTTCAAAGGCAGCAGTTCAAGTCGTAGCTCGAGTCGCGGACAGCTTTCCTAAAGATAACGGGTAGTGGATCCCGCCGGTTCCAGTCTGTTGACCTGTTCAGAACCGTCGCCGGTTCGCCCATCTAGACTCTTTATTGGCGCGTCGCACACCTCGCCGCACATCCCGCTGCATATCTCACCGCACATCTAGCCGCAATGTTGTTCCACGCGGCGGGCGCGGAGGGCAGTCGGCCGACGTTCTTCGAGATGGCGGCGGCCGATTTCCTCCCCGCCTCGCTAAAAGCCGCCGCGCTATACGCTCTAGGGGTGCGTTCAGCACTGCCACGCCATCTAAAACCACTTGTGGGGGAGGGAAAGGAGAGAGGGGGGAAGAGAGGGAGGCGGGGAAGGAAGGTGGGCGGAAAATGGTGGGGCACGGGAAGAGATGGTCGCAGCACAGAGAGAGCAGGCGGTCTTGACGCATGCCGGCTTTGTGGTGGTATACAAGGAATCAAATCCTACATCTGGAGGGTTTGGATACTAAATCAGCTCCGTCGTTTCGCGTACCACCCTCTCTCCTTCCCCCCCTGCGGCCTGCCCTTTCCCCTTCCAGCCAACTCCTATCCCCCAATCCCAGAGAGCTCAAACTAGCCGACCCCTCGCCTCGCCTTCTCCCACCCCCTTCCCTCGCCTTCTCCCACCCCCTTCCCTCTGTGTGCAGGCGTTGCCACAGCACCACCATCGCTGCTGCACATAGCGTGCTGCCATGAGCCTCAAAATGCACACTTCCTCTACTCTCTTCTCTTCTCTCTTCTCCTCCGACCCCCACTCCCCAGGTGTTGGCACAGCACCGCCCTTCGCTGCACCGCCTGCTGGACCACAGCGACGAGCTCGCTGCTGCTGCGCTGCTGCTGCTGGAGTGGCACTCGCTCAAAACGCATGGTACTCCACGGCACTCTGTACTCGTTATTAGCTCTTGTTGTAGCCAATGCCAAGCTTCCTTCCTACCTCCCTCCCTTACTACTACCGCCACATTACAACTTTCCCAACTCCCCCCATGTTCCCGCACCCCGCCCTTTAACCTTTCCATGCCTTTCCGTCATCGTCGTCGTCATCATCGCCTCCCTTTCCTCCAACTCACCCCTCACTGCTTTCTCCCATCCCCCGCAGGCGCCTCATTTGGAGAATCCATGTACGGCCTTCGCCGCATCTCCACCGTTCCCCACCGCCCTTCACCCAGCCAAGCAGCATTACGAACAGGGGGCGCAGCAGGGGGAGCAGCAGGGGCGGAGGGGGCAGGCAGAGGAGAGAGGGCGGCAGGGGGTCAGGAGGGCGGGTCAGCATCATATGGCATGTCTCGCAAGCAGGGGCGCTTTCTCTTCTCTTTCTGGTCAGTTGGCGTTTAGGGTTGGGGTTCGAAGTCAAGGATTTCTGATTAGGGATGCAGAAGGTATGTTCTGCTTAGGGGTGAAGATGGTACATTCGCAGGTGCTGCTTCATAGGTGCCTCACGGCTTGATAGGTGCAGAAGCAGGTTGATTTATGTTGCACCCAATACCCGCACTTTCCCGTTCATCTCTCAACTACACCCCATACCCGTTATTACACACCAGGTGCCCCTGCCAAGCTGTGCGCTCTGTTTGCTGCCCGCCAGAGGCAAAGACAGGCCGGCTCTTTATATCGACTCAACTACACCCCATACCCCCTACCACATACCAGGTGCTGCTGCCCTACCTGCGCGCCAAGCTCCACGCCCTGTTTGCCGCCCGCTAGAGGCAGAGGCAGGCCCGCTCTTTAGGTCGACTCAAAACACTCCCTACCCTCTACCACATACCGCATACCAGGTGCTGCTGCCCTACCTGCGCGCCAAGCTGCATGCTCTGTTTGCCTTCCGCCAGAGGCAGAGGCAGGCCCGCGCGCTGTGGGTGGGGGGCGATGGGGCGGACGAGGGGTGGGGGGGAGTGGAGGAGGGGGAGTGGGGGACGGGGAGGGATGGGGGAAATAATGCTGCTCTGGGGCAAGGGGATGGGGATGGGTATGGGGATGAGTATGGTGGGGCCATGGGAGGTGAAGAGCGCAGTGAGAGTGGCAGCAGCCCTGGGAGCATGGGCTCTGTTGGTTCCCTGCATGGGCACGAACAGTCAGCTGATGGGCTGGGGACTGATGGATTGAGGGATGAAACGCCAGGGGGTGGGGGTGTGGCAGCAGCAGCAGCAGCGGCAAGAGTTACGGATGGGCGTGAAGAGGGAGGAGAAGGAGAGGAGGAGGTGGGCGGGCAAGGGGGGCAGGTGGTCACAGGAGGGGCTGCTGCTGGCAGTTCAGATGCCAGAGGCAATGGGGGAAGGAGGAGCAGTGCAATTGGCAGCAGCAGCAGCAGGAGCAGTGCGAGGGGCAGCAGGAGGTGGCGGCAGGTGGTGCGAGTGCTGCGGTGGTTGCAGCGGCGGGCTGTGAGAGGGGCCGCTGCCGCGTACCCCTGGGTGCAGGCGCCATATGAAGGTGAGCTCGTCTGTGTGGGACATTGAGCCGGTGTGTTTTGGAGAAGGCCAGAGCTCACACCTTAAAGCAGACTCTATCACTGAGCTGCCGAGCTGAGAGGTGCTGCTGCGGCGTACCTCTGGGTGCTGCAGGCTCCGTATGAATTTGAGCCGGTCTGGGCTGGGTTGGTTGGTGAGTAGCATGTCGGCTGGAGTAGGCTAAAGCTCGCCTTAGTGAAGCAAGTTCTGTCTCAGGGTCCTGAGAGGCTGGATGCCACGTGTAAAAAGAGTAGTTTTGAGACGTCTCAAAACTACTCTTTTTACACGTGCAGGCGCCATATGAAGATGAGCTGAGTGGGGTGGGCTTGGTTCGATGACATGTGGAGGTGAGGCGGTCTGGGTGGGCGTAGGCCAGAGGTCGCCCTTTGGGAGGTCGCCCTTTGGAAGGTCGCCCTTTGGAAGGTCGCCCTTTGGAAGGTCGCCCTTTGGATTGAAACACGCTCCGTCTCAGGCTGCTGAGAGGGGCCGCTGTGGCGTACCCCTGGGTGCACGCACCATATGAATGAAGGTGAGAATGTCTGGTTTAATGGGTTGGTCTGGGGTAGTGAACATGTGGACTGGTGTTGCTCCCCTCTCCCCTTCCTTCCCCACCACGCCTGTATCTGCTGTACTGCTGCTCTACGTCATGGATGCCACACCTCAGACCCAACCTTTGTAACCTCTTTTCCTTATTCCAGATTTTCCCATCCCCTCCTTCTCCTCCCCCCACCCACCAGGCGTGTGTCTGCTGTACCAACTTCTCTACGTGATGGATGCCATGCCTCACTACTCACCGTTGTAATCTGTGCCCTGTTCCTTCCCTTTCCCCCCCCGTCCCACCCCTTCCCCCCCACCACCAGGCGTGTGTCTGCTGTACCAGCTGCTCTACGTCATGGACGCTGCGCCGCACCACCAACGTATGCAAGCTTTGTGTCTTACTCCTCCCCTCCCTCACCCCACCCCTTCCCCCCCACCCACCAGGCGTGTGTCTGCTGTACCAGCTGCTCTACGTCATGGACGCCACGCCTCACTACTCGCCCGTACTGCACCTCCTCTCCCTCTCGCTGCGCCGAGCCACTCCACAGGAGCTGGTGAGCCGGAATGCACTCTCACAACGCGAGGTACCTTATGGTTTTCACATATGAATGGCTCCAGCAGACGGAAGGCTCCAGCAGAGAAATTCCCTGCTGTGTAGAATGCTTCAGGATCCTCAAACCCAGCATGCCCCCATCCCTGCCGTGTAGGCAGATGCATGCATCTTCTTCTCTCCCATCCCTGCCGTGTAGGCAGATGCATGCATCTTCTTCTCTCCCATCCCTGCCGTCTAGGCAGATGCATGCATCTTCTTCTCTCCCATCCCTGGCGTCGGCAAGTGCCTCAGACCCATCGCCCCTCCCCTCCCACCGTGCAGGCCGAGGCCTCTTCCTCCATCTCCACCCGCCGTCAGCGAGAGTTCGAGCGCCTCCCGGGGTCACCTGCAATAAGGGTGAGATATTGGGGTTAATAGCCACAATGTGGGTGTTATTAGGGTTATAGCCTGGAATAGTGGTCATATATTGGGGTCGAGAGCATGCAGTACAGGTTAGGTATTGGATCTTCTATCCTTCAATACAAGTGTGTGGACAGGGTAAGATCCTACAAGTGAAGGCCATTCACACGTCTTGTGGGCCTCCGTTCTCCTCACCTCACTCCCCAATCGCTTGTTATCCTCCCAAATCGCTTGTTATGCTCGCTTCGTTTCCTCCGTCCAGGCTGTGCAAGCAGCGCTTGTAAAAGCCGTCTACTTTTCCATGGACCATGCCCAGAGTCTGGGCCCCAGCCCTCTCTCACCACTGCTGCTGCTGCTGCTGTTTGACTTGTCACCGCTTCCCCTCTCCCAACCTGTCCCTCGCCCCCACTCCCATCCAAGCCAAGCCGTGCAAGCAGCGCTCCTGAAAGCCCTCTACTTCACAATGGACTATGCCCAGACGTCTGTCATCGCTGCGGTCTTTGCCTTCAAGGTACGCCCACTTCAAGAAAGAAGAAGAAAATCACTTCCTTAGAAAGCAAATTCCTCCTCTCCGTTCCTGCTTCTTTCCTTGCGGTTGGCTGCACATCCTAGTAATCGCGAACGTCTCTTCAGAACTCTAATTGCTCATTAATCAATGTAACCCTCAGGAGCATTGTTATGTGGCTTGCAGCTCTTTTCTTACCATGCCCCATGAGATGGCAAAGCGCTGCCAACGGGTAGTTTGGTTGATTATACGGCACCTAACGAGTTTAGTATACACCTAACGAAGGGGTGTGTGGTGGGTGACGTTTGAGTCGACTCAATAGTCACCTTGTGTGGTGGGTGACGTTTGAGTCGACTCAATAGTCACCTTGTGTGGTGGGTGACGTTTGAGTCGACTCAATAGTCACCTTGTGTGGTGGGTGACGTTTGAGTCGACTCAATAGTCACCTTGTGTGGTGGGTGACGTTTGAGTCGACTCAATAGTCACCTTGTGTGGTGGGTGACGTTTGAGTCGACTCAATAGTCACCTTGTGTGGTGGGTGACGTTTGAGTCGACTCAATGGTCACCTTGTGTGGTGGGTGACGTTTGAGTCGACTCAATAGTCACCTTGTGTGGTGGGTGACGTTTGAGTCGACTCAATAGTCACCTTGTGTGGTGGGTGACGTTTGAGTCGACTCAATAGTCACCTTGTGTGGTGGGTGGATACCACCGACTGGCGTTCCCCGACTACACCTTACAGTATCCCTGCTAACAGCTCTCTGCCTTACATGCTTGCTTTTGAGGCGCCTCAAATGTGGTGGGTGGATACCACCTACTGGCGTTCCCCGACTAGATGCCTCACAGAATCCAGCTCGTCTTGCCGCTGCACCTTACAGTATCCCTGCTAACAGCTCTCTGCCTTACATGCTTGCTTGCGGGCTTCTGTTTGCTCACAACCCCACCAGATGGCCGAGTGGTGGTACCAGACAGGCGAGCAGAAGCTGAGTGCATTTGGCTGCCATATTGTCTGATATCCCTGCTCACCACACTCTGCCCTGCCCTGCCCTGCCCTGGCCTGCCTGCTTCCCTTCCTCTCGTTCACCCCCACTCATCCGCCATCAGATGGCCGAGCGGTGCTGCACTGATTCCCCCATGCCCCCACCCTTAGAGACGTTTCCACTTATCGGTCCCCATTCCCCCATCAGATGGCCGAGCGGTGCTGCACTGATTCCCCCATGCCCCCACCCTTAGAGATGTTTCCACTTATCGGTCCCCATTCCCCCATCAGATGGCCGAGCGGTGCTGCACTGATTCCCCCGTGCCCCCACCCTTAGAGACGTTTCCACTTATCGGTCCCCATTCCCCCATCAGATGGCCGAGCGGTGCTGCACTGATTCCCCCGTGCACCCACCCTTAGAGATGTTTCCACTTATTGGTCCCCATTCCCCCATCAGATGGCCGAGCGGTGCTGCACTGATTCCCCCGTGCCCCCACCCTTAGAGACGTTTCCACTTATCGGTCCCCATTCCCCCATCAGATGGCCGAGCGGTGCTGCACTGATTCCCCCGTGCCCCCACCCTTAGAGATGTTTCCACTTATCGGTCCCCATTCCCCCATCAGATGGCCGAGCGGTGCTGCACTGATTCCCCCATGCCCCCACCCTTAGAGATGTTTCCACTTATCGGTCCCCATTCCCCTATCAGATGGCCGAGCGGTGCTGCACTGATTCCCTCATTCCCGCACTCTTTTGAGAGGCTTCCTCTTATTGCTCCCCGTTCCCCCATCAGATGGCTGAGTGGTGGTACCAGACGGGCGAGCAGACACTGAGTGCGTCTTGCTGCTATGTCATGCCATACTTGCACTCTCCCATGCCTGCTCATGTGACACCACTCACTCATCTACCCCCCCCCACCCCACTCATCCCCCATCAGATGGCCGAGTGGTGGTACCAGACAGGCGAGCAGAAGCTCAGTGCTCCCACTGTGTACCCTCCACCACCACCCCCACCACCGCCCAAGGCAAGTGCATTTTTCCTAAATACGTGTTATGTGTACATGGTAGTACCATGATAGTATGACAGTAAGCTCAGCGCTCCCACTGTACCCTCCGCTCCGCAATAACCCCCACCCCACCAACCCCAGGGCAAGTGCAAAAAAACGGTCAACCCATTCCCTTCAGCCAGTTCACTTACACGCCATTCCTTCGAACCATTCCCTTGTGACCCATTTCCTTCAGCCAATTCCCTTATGATCCACTGCCTTCATCCCTTTCTCTTACAAACCACGTGCTTCAGCCCATTCACTTATATTCCATTCCCTTCAGCCCATACGCTTACAAGCCACTCCCCTATCACCCATTCTCGGATAACTCATTTCTTTGTTACCCGTTCCCTTCTCTTCCCTTTTGTCTTCCCCCAGGTGGCCCCTGCAGGCATCCCACTGCCTGCTGACTCACCCTGTGCCTGCTCTGCCTCTGCTTCTGCTGCCAATGCCATTTATCCATTTCTCTCCCATTCCCATTCCCTCGTTTCCCTTTCTCTCCCTCCAGGTGGCCCCTGCAGGCATTCCCGTGCCTGCCGATCGCTCCCTGTGTCCGCTCTGCCTCTGCCGTCGCACCAACCCCACCGCCCCTGCCACCTCCGGCTTCATCTTCTGCTACCCCTGCATCTTTGCATACGTGGATAAGGTTGGTAACCCTGTAACCCAGGCTGCTGTGATTCTGGCTTCATCTTCTGCTACCCCTGCATCTTTGCCTATGTCGATAAGGTTGGTAACCCTGTAATCCAGGCTGTGACTCCGGCTTCATCTTCTGCTACCCCTGCATCTATGCCTACGTGGACAAGGCAAGTAATCCTGTAACCTGGTAACCCTGTAACCTGTGTTGAATCGAAACAGTTCTTTTCTGATACCCTTGCACATTTGCCCACGTGGACAAGTTTGTTGGTGCAATGTAGGATCAAAACAGTATTTTTCTGCTACCCATTCATCCTGCTGAACAGGATAAGGTAAGTAGCCTTGTAGTCCTTTTGTTTTGGTGAAATATTGGATGAAGCACTCATCTTTCGCCACCCCTGTATCTTTGCCTTCGTGGACAAGGCAAGTAACCCTGTAAGGTGTGATGCTGGATCAATGCAGTCACCGTCTGTAAGGCCTATGGGCATCTGCACCTACTTTTACAAGCTAAGGTCACCTACGTTTTGGCTCATGAGTTTGCGTATGGTTTGCATGCGCGTTGACATGATTCACATGGCGCTTGCATCCAGATGACCCGCCGTGGTCGTGACATGATTCACATGCCACATGCATGCATGCTTCCATCTCCTCTGCTGACTCTGTTCCTATCGCACTTTTCCTTTCTCTCCCCCCTCTTCTCTGCCACCCCCTCACCACCTCCCGTCTCCACCATCCAGTTTGGTCGCTGCCCCATCACCCACCACCCCACCACAGTGGACCAACTTAGACGACTCTTCCCCGACGCATAGTTCTCTACACCACAAAAAAGGCTTTCTTTCCAGCTTATGAGTAGACAAAAAAAACGAGGAGACAGGACCACCCACTTTACCCATGTATAACGCAACATATCGTGCATGGTTTCTAAGGCACGTGGGGTCTCCGCACGGGCATTAGCCACCATTCCTATCCAGCCACACAAAGGCATGGCGTTATGCACATATTTATTAATTGTGGTGGGGTACTATCCTCATGAGCCCAAACTTATCGACAAATAAGATCGAAGTACGACTTCAGTAGCACTAGCTTTCTATTGTAGTGGCAAAATGTCGCTATTTCATTGCCACATCCAAGCACAGTACGAAGCAACCAATAGAGTGCACCACAAAACATGCTCAAGCCTTTCTGTTTCCACCCACGCCGCTTGCGAACATGGTAGGCTCTTGTAAAGACTATACATATGAGGTAACACAGTCCGTTGATCTGTAAATCAGATAACTACATGACGAAAGCACCGGGGCTGCTGGCTCAGTGCAAAAAAGGAGTCATCCAACAGCATGAGATCACGTGGCGCTCCTTGAATATTTTCATGGAGAAGTTGGGGCATTTTGCGGAGTGGATCGATGGGTACCAGGAGTTTAGGGGAGGTCGCGCTGAGTTGTTGCTGTCAAACTATAAGGGCGTGTTCCTACGGCCTCATATCAGGAAACCCCGTATGTAGAATGTACTTTTTGCCTGGTAAAACTAGCAAGAGGTTTTGGGTTTAGGGGAATTTTCAGTGTGAGCCTGATACGAGGTTCTCTTGATACGAGGTGTAGGAACACGCTCTAATGCTGCTTATGTTGTGTAGGCTGTAGTGGGGTAACCTATATGGGGTACAACCCAATTTGTACTCAGTTTGATCCTTAGTTCGGAAAGATGCAGCTAGGACGCAGGACGCGCGTCCAGACGCAGGACGCACGTCGAAATTTTTTTCGGGCAGCCCGAAAAAAAAATCGATCGCGATTTTGGCATTCGCGATTTCGACGCGAATGTCGAAATCGCGAAATTTCCCCACCCCAAGCCCAATTCGCCATTCAAAACCAGCCCCCCTAACATTCCCTAACAACTAAACCAAAATTGAATTTCACTCAAACCTCTCAACCACTTAGCATCTACGAATCCCAACCTTTGTAGCCCACCACCACCAAGCACATTTAGCATGGCAACCTTTTGTGGCTTCTCATTTTCCCCTCACCAATTCTCTTTCGTAAACCCATAGAGGTTTTAGATCTTAGCTTAGCTTACCACCTAAACTCCGCTATGGCTTCCTCGAGCATTCCTTCTGTGAAATGTGTGACACGTGACTCACCTTAATCTCAAATTTTGGGGGAAAATTTTGTGGTATGACACCCCCCCCCCCCCCTCTCCCAAGCCCTATACTATTTTTTTTGGCCTGCCCGGAGATTTTTTTTGCCCTGCCCGGGCTTGCGTCTTTTGGTGCGTCTTACAGGTCAAGGGTCAGCGTCCTGCGTCTGGACGCAGGACGCGTCTTTCTGAACTAAGGTTTGATCTCAATGCAATCGTTCCTGCTCGTTAGTTTCTGACATGGTTTCAGAGCAGTAGGTCCGTAGGACCGTTTTTTTCGGGCCCACCATTACTTAGTGACCGACTGCGGTTACCGCGTTACCCCACGCCCTGCCCTGCACTACGCCGTCAGCGCGCGCCCTGCCCTGACCTGCCCCGCGTCGCGCTGCCCCACGCACGCCCTGCCCTGCCCCGCGTCGCGCTGCCCCGCACATGCCCTGCCCTGCCCCGCGTCGCGCTGCCCCGTGCACGCCGTGCCCTGCCCCGCGTCGCGCTGCCCCGCGCACGCCCTGCCCTGCCCCGCGTCCTGCTGCAGCCCGCGCCCTGCTGCCCTGCGCGTCGCACCCTGCTGCAGCCCGCGCGTCGCGCTCTACTGCTCTGCGCGTCGCGCCCTGCTGCAGCCCGCACGTCGCGCCCTGCTGCCCTGCGCGTCGCGCCCTACGGCAGCCCGCGCGTCATGCTCTGCTGCCCCACATGTCGCGCACTGCTGCAGCCCTAGCGTCGCGCCCTGCTGCAGCCCGCGCGTCGAGCCCTCCTGCCCCGTGTGTTGTGTTTTGTTACAGCCCGCACATCGCGCCCTGCTACCCTGCACAGCGCGCGCCCCGCTGCCCGCGCCGCCCAGGCCGAGCCGCGCTGCCCAGCCCGAGCCGCCCTGCCCAACCCGATCCGCCATGCTGCTCGTGCTACTGCTGCTGCTGGTGGAGCTGCTGCTAGGAGTGTTGGAGGTGCTGCAGCTTAGACTCACCGAGCCGCTCTGCTGCTCTTACTGCTCCTACTACTGCTCGTGCTACTGCCTTCCCTCCGTACTGCCCTACTGGTCGTGCCTCCTTGCTTGCCCGCTATGACTTCACTTCGTAGTAGCGGTGGGAGTGGTGACGGCGGTGGTGGCAGCAGTGGGAGTGGTGGCGGCCGTAGTAGCAGTTGCTGTGGAGCTGTTCGGTGGGGAGTTTCTGGCGGTGACCAGATGCAGCTGCAGCGGTGTCCACGCGAGACCCTTCCGCCCCAGCAGCTTCGAGAGTGGTATGCCAGTAGGTGTGGTGGCGGCGGTTGTAGTAGCAGTCGCGGTGGAGCTGTTCAGTGCGGAGTTTCTGGCGGTGGCCAGATGCAGCTGTAGCGGCGTCTGTGCGAGACCCTTACGCCCCAGCAGCTTCGTGAGTGGTATGCTCAGAGTGGGGGGACTCGGAGTACTGTCCGCTGCCCATACGTCATTCGAACAGGTGATCGGGCTGGTTAGACTTGCGGGACAGTTGGTCACACGCACGCTCGCTGCTTCGCCTATCTGAGCGATGCCTGGCGTGCAGTGTTTGGCGACGAGGCTGAGCTCCCCAGCTGGCTAGAGCTGCTTCGGAACAAGGCGGATATCTTTGCTCTAGACTATGACACTATCCTCACTGCCATGTATGCTTTGACTATTAGTGCTCAGGGTGACTGTTACCTGTGTGTGCCGCCCGACCCTGGTATAGCGGCTGCTGCTTTTGGTGCTGGTGGGTGTGCTCTAGGTGCTGGTGAGTCTGCTCTAGGTGCTGGTGAGTCTGCTCTCTCTGGTACTGCGCCTTTTGAGGCCTTGCACACCTTCACGGTCGACTTAGGTGCTTCCCGCTGCTTCTTTCGGGACAGCACCACAGTCACACCACTCGCAGCACCGGTTGCAGTCTCTCTGGCTGACCACTCTGGGGGACCGGTTCATGCACGTTCCTCCACTGTTCTCCCGTGTCCGGCGGTTCCGTCTGGCTCACTGTCAGGTCTTCACCTCCCCTCGTTCTCTACGAACTTGGTGAGTAACGCCGTCCTTCAGGATGCTTGGGTTGATACCTTTATCCCTGGGGGACAACGTCTGGCGATCTGCACGTGTGCACGGACAGGCCGTCACCTGGCCACGTTCACCCGTCGGCCTGGGTCGAGCCTGTACACACTGACTACTGAGCTTCCTCAGGTAGCTGCGTTTGCGTCCGTGTCAGGTCAGCTAGCACGCTTTGACTTGACATACACAGCATGCCAACAGAAATCCACTTCAAAACAGCAGGTTGCTTGTCCTCCTTTCCACCGCCATTCACACTCACAGTGCAACGAAAACTCCTTCCTATCCCCTAGGAATCGTTTTTGCCACTTGAGATGTTGTCTTCGCACGACTGCCTTCTTCAGCCCTTGACTCTCACTTGGTCCCAATCGCTGCATATCTCCACGCATTTGCCTCCTTGTGCTCGACGCATTGCTCATCCCTCCTTGATGATTTACGCTACACCCTTCTAATATCATGTACGTGGGGAATCAACGTCGAACTTTACAGAATTTCGAAAAAAATGTAAGGTGATACATGGTACAATACCGTCATGCCACAATACAAAGCAGCTAGGGCTTGAACGTTGAGCAAAATGCACCAAATGCACCACACCCGAATTCTCCTTCTTCACTTGATTGATGAACCTCCCTCACAATCGCTTACTCTAGTCTCCACCCTTCTTGTTGGATGCATTTTTTGTCAAACATTCATGCTATAGTCTTTCTAGGCTGTAGTGGGGTAGATAGTATGGGGTACAGTTTTCTAGGGTTGCATATTTGTACCCAACTCATTTCCTAGTCAATCATTCCTCTTTCTTCACATGGTATAGAGCAGGTTCCCTAGTGGGACCGTTTCTTCCTAACATTTTTTTTTTTTTCCTAACCTGCCCGAAGCGCGCTTCGCGCTCTGACCTGCCCTACCCTTTCGCGGCCCCTTAGCGGCCTGCCCTGCTCCTGAGGCGCGTCGCGCCCCCCCCCCTTTGCGGCCCCTTCGCGGCCCCTTCGCGACCCCTTAGCAACCCCTTCGCGGCCCCTTAGCGGCCCACTTCGCGGCCCCTTAGCGGCCCCTTCGCGGCCCCTTCGCGGCCCCTTCGCGGCCCCTTCGCGGCCCCTTAGCGGCCCCTTCGCGGCCCCTTCGCGGCCCCTTAGCGGCCCCTTCGCGGCCCCTTAGCGGCCCCTTCGCGGCCCCTTCGCGGCCCCTTCGCGGCCCCTTCGCGGCCCCGCCCCGTTGCCCGTAGCGGCCCCGCCCCGTCGCCAGTCGCGGCCCCGCCCCGTCGCCACCCGGGTGTCGCCCCTGCCTCGTCGCGACGCCTCAGCGGGACTCGCGCGTCGCCCCCGCCTCGTCGCGACGCCCCTACGGGACCTGCGAGGCGCAACTCCTGCGCGTCGCGACGCCCCAACGGGACCCGGGCGTCGCCCCCGCTCGTCGCGACTTCCCTGCAGGACCCGCGCGGCGTCGCCCCTGCCCGCCGCGGCGCCCTGCCCTAACCCGCGCCCGACCTGCAGCAGCCGCCCCTGGCCCCTGGAGCAGCCGCCCTTGCAGCAGCCGCCCCTGCAGCAGCCGCCCCTGGCCCCTGGAGCAGCCGCCCCTGCAGCAGCCGCTTCTGGCCCCTGGAGCAGCCGCCCGTGCAGCAGCCGCCCCTGGCCCCTGGAGCAGCCGCCCCTGCAGCAGCCGCCCCTGGCCCCTGGAGCAGCCGCCCCTGCAGCAGCCGCCCCTGGCCCCTGGAGCAGCCGCCCCTGCAGTAGCCGCCCCTGCAGCAGCTGCCCCTGCAGCAGCCGCCCCTGGACCTCTGCAGCCGCCCCTGGCCCCTGGAGCAGCTGCCCCTGCAGCAGCCGCCCCTGGCCCCTGGAGCAGCCGCCCCTGTAGCAGCCGCCCCTGACCCCTGGAGCAGCCGCCCCTGCAGCAGCCGCCCCTGGCCCCTGGAGCAGCCGCCCCTGGAGCAGCCGCCCCTGCAGCTGGAATCAAATCCTACATCTGGAGGGTTTGGATACTAAATCAGCTCCGTCGTTTCGCGTACCACCCTCTCTCCTTCCCCCCCTGCGGCCTGCCCTTTCCCCTTCCAGCCAACTCCTATCCCCCAATCCCAGAGAGCTCAAACTAGCCGACCCCTCGCCTCGCCTTCTCCCACCCCCTTCCCTCGCCTTCTCCCACCCCCTTCCCTCTGTGTGCAGGCGTTGCCACAGCACCACCATCGCTGCTGCACATAGCGTGCTGCCATGAGCCTCAAAATGCACACTTCCTCTACTCTCTTCTCTTCTCTCTTCTCCTCCGACCCCCACTCCCCAGGTGTTGGCACAGCACCGCCCTTCGCTGCACCGCCTGCTGGACCACAGCGACGAGCTCGCTGCTGCTGCGCTGCTGCTGCTGGAGTGGCACTCGCTCAAAACGCATGGTACTCCACGGCACTCTGTACTCGTTATTAGCTCTTGTTGTAGCCAATGCCAAGCTTCCTTCCTACCTCCCTCCCTTACTACTACCGCCACATTACAACTTTCCCAACTCCCCCCATGTTCCCGCACCCCGCCCTTTAACCTTTCCATGCCTTTCCGTCATCGTCGTCATCATCATCGCCTCCCTTTCCTCCAACTCACCCCTCACTGCTTTCTCCCATCCCCCGCAGGCGCCTCATTTGGAGAATCCATGTACGGCCTTCGCCGCATCTCCACCGTTCCCCACCGCCCTTCACCCAGCCAAGCAGCATTACGAACAGGGGGCGCAGCAGGGGGAGCAGCAGGGGCGGAGGGGGCAGGCAGAGGAGAGAGGGCGGCAGGGGGTCAGGAGGGCGGGTCAGCATCATATGGCATGTCTCGCAAGCAGGGGCGCTTTCTCTTCTCTTTCTGGTCAGTTGGCGTTTAGGGTTGGGGTTCGAAGTCAAGGATTTCTGATTAGGGATGCAGAAGGTATGTTCTGCTTAGGGGTGAAGATGGTACATTCGCAGGTGCTGCTTCATAGGTGCCTCACGGCTTGATAGGTGCAGAAGCAGGTTGATTTATGTTGCACCCAATACCCGCACTTTCCCGTTCATCTCTCAACTACACCCCATACCCGTTATTACACACCAGGTGCCCCTGCCAAGCTGTGCGCTCTGTTTGCTGCCCGCCAGAGGCAAAGACAGGCCGGCTCTTTATATCGACTCAACTACACCCCATACCCCCTACCACATACCAGGTGCTGCTGCCCTACCTGCGCGCCAAGCTCCACGCCCTGTTTGCCGCCCGCTAGAGGCAGAGGCAGGCCCGCTCTTTAGGTCGACTCAAAACACTCCCTACCCTCTACCACATACCGCATACCAGGTGCTGCTGCCCTACCTGCGCGCCAAGCTGCATGCTCTGTTTGCCTTCCGCCAGAGGCAGAGGCAGGCCCGCGCGCTGTGGGTGGGGGGCGATGGGGCGGACGAGGGGTGGGGGGGAGTGGAGGAGGGGGAGTGGGGGACGGGGAGGGATGGGGGAAATAATGCTGCTCTGGGGCAAGGGGATGGGGATGGGTATGGGGATGAGTATGGTGGGGCCATGGGAGGTGAAGAGCGCAGTGAGAGTGGCAGCAGCCCTGGGAGCATGGGCTCTGTTGGTTCCCTGCATGGGCACGAACAGTCAGCTGATGGGCTGGGGACTGATGGATTGAGGGATGAAACGCCAGGGGGTGGGGGTGTGGCAGCAGCAGCAGCAGCGGCAAGAGTTACGGATGGGCGTGAAGAGGGAGGAGAAGGAGAGGAGGAGGTGGGCGGGCAAGGGGGGCAGGTGGTCACAGGAGGGGCTGCTGCTGGCAGTTCAGATGCCAGAGGCAATGGGGGAAGGAGGAGCAGTGCAATTGGCAGCAGCAGCAGCAGGAGCAGTGCGAGGGGCAGCAGGAGGTGGCGGCAGGTGGTGCGAGTGCTGCGGTGGTTGCAGCGGCGGGCTGTGAGAGGGGCCGCTGCCGCGTACCCCTGGGTGCAGGCGCCATATGAAGGTGAGCTCGTCTGTGTGGGACATTGAGCCGGTGTGTTTTGGAGAAGGCCAGAGCTCACACCTTAAAGCAGACTCTATCACTGAGCTGCCGAGCTGAGAGGTGCTGCTGCGGCGTACCTCTGGGTGCTGCAGGCTCCGTATGAATTTGAGCCGGTCTGGGCTGGGTTGGTTGGTGAGTAGCATGTCGGCTGGAGTAGGCTAAAGCTCGCCTTAGTGAAGCAAGTTCTGTCTCAGGGTCCTGAGAGGCTGGATGCCACGTGTAAAAAGAGTAGTTTTGAGACGTCTCAAAACTACTCTTTTTACACGTGCAGGCGCCATATGAAGATGAGCTGAGTGGGGTGGGCTTGGTTCGATGACATGTGGAGGTGAGGCGGTCTGGGTGGGCGTAGGCCAGAGGTCGCCCTTTGGGAGGTCGCCCTTTGGAAGGTCGCCCTTTGGAAGGTCGCCCTTTGGAAGGTCGCCCTTTGGATTGAAACACGCTCCGTCTCAGGCTGCTGAGAGGGGCCGCTGTGGCGTACCCCTGGGTGCACGCACCATATGAATGAAGGTGAGAATGTCTGGTTTAATGGGTTGGTCTGGGGTAGTGAACATGTGGACTGGTGTTGCTCCCCTCTCCCCTTCCTTCCCCACCACGCCTGTATCTGCTGTACTGCTGCTCTACGTCATGGATGCCACACCTCAGACCCAACCTTTGTAACCTCTTTTCCTTATTCCAGATTTTCCCATCCCCTCCTTCTCCTCCCCCCACCCACCAGGCGTGTGTCTGCTGTACCAACTTCTCTACGTGATGGATGCCATGCCTCACTACTCACCGTTGTAATCTGTGCCCTGTTCCTTCCCTTTCCCCCCCCGTCCCACCCCTTCCCCCCCACCACCAGGCGTGTGTCTGCTGTACCAGCTGCTCTACGTCATGGACGCTGCGCCGCACCACCAACGTATGCAAGCTTTGTGTCTTACTCCTCCCCTCCCTCACCCCACCCCTTCCCCCCCACCCACCAGGCGTGTGTCTGCTGTACCAGCTGCTCTACGTCATGGACGCCACGCCTCACTACTCGCCCGTACTGCACCTCCTCTCCCTCTCGCTGCGCCGAGCCACTCCACAGGAGCTGGTGAGCCGGAATGCACTCTCACAACGCGAGGTACCTTATGGTTTTCACATATGAATGGCTCCAGCAGACGGAAGGCTCCAGCAGAGAAATTCCCTGCTGTGTAGAATGCTTCAGGATCCTCAAACCCAGCATGCCCCCATCCCTGCCGTGTAGGCAGATGCATGCATCTTCTTCTCTCCCATCCCTGCCGTGTAGGCAGATGCATGCATCTTCTTCTCTCCCATCCCTGCCGTCTAGGCAGATGCATGCATCTTCTTCTCTCCCATCCCTGGCGTCGGCAAGTGCCTCAGACCCATCGCCCCTCCCCTCCCACCGTGCAGGCCGAGGCCTCTTCCTCCATCTCCACCCGCCGTCAGCGAGAGTTCGAGCGCCTCCCGGGGTCACCTGCAATAAGGGTGAGATATTGGGGTTAATAGCCACAATGTGGGTGTTATTAGGGTTATAGCCTGGAATAGTGGTCATATATTGGGGTCGAGAGCATGCAGTACAGGTTAGGTATTGGATCTTCTATCCTTCAATACAAGTGTGTGGACAGGGTAAGATCCTACAAGTGAAGGCCATTCACACGTCTTGTGGGCCTCCGTTCTCCTCACCTCACTCCCCAATCGCTTGTTATCCTCCCAAATCGCTTGTTATGCTCGCTTCGTTTCCTCCGTCCAGGCTGTGCAAGCAGCGCTTGTAAAAGCCGTCTACTTTTCCATGGACCATGCCCAGAGTCTGGGCCCCAGCCCTCTCTCACCACTGCTGCTGCTGCTGCTGTTTGACTTGTCACCGCTTCCCCTCTCCCAACCTGTCCCTCGCCCCCACTCCCATCCAAGCCAAGCCGTGCAAGCAGCGCTCCTGAAAGCCCTCTACTTCACAATGGACTATGCCCAGACGTCTGTCATCGCTGCGGTCTTTGCCTTCAAGGTACGCCCACTTCAAGAAAGAAGAAGAAAATCACTTCCTTAGAAAGCAAATTCCTCCTCTCCGTTCCTGCTTCTTTCCTTGCGGTTGGCTGCACATCCTAGTAATCGCGAACGTCTCTTCAGAACTCTAATTGCTCATTAATCAATGTAACCCTCAGGAGCATTGTTATGTGGCTTGCAGCTCTTTTCTTACCATGCCCCATGAGATGGCAAAGCGCTGCCAACGGGTAGTTTGGTTGATTATACGGCACCTAACGAGTTTAGTATACACCTAACGAAGGGGTGTGTGGTGGGTGACGTTTGAGTCGACTCAATAGTCACCTTGTGTGGTGGGTGACGTTTGAGTCGACTCAATAGTCACCTTGTGTGGTGGGTGACGTTTGAGTCGACTCAATAGTCACCTTGTGTGGTGGGTGACGTTTGAGTCGACTCAATAGTCACCTTGTGTGGTGGGTGACGTTTGAGTCGACTCAATGGTCACCTTGTGTGGTGGGTGACGTTTGAGTCGACTCAATGGTCACCTTGTGTGGTGGGTGACGTTTGAGTCGACTCAATAGTCACCTTGTGTGGTGGGTGACGTTTGAGTCGACTCAATAGTCACCTTGTGTGGTGGGTGACGTTTGAGTCGACTCAATAGTCACCTTGTGTGGTGGGTGGATACCACCGACTGGCGTTCCCCGACTACACCTTACAGTATCCCTGCTAACAGCTCTCTGCCTTACATGCTTGCTTTTGAGGCGCCTCAAATGTGGTGGGTGGATACCACCTACTGGCGTTCCCCGACTAGATGCCTCACAGAATCCAGCTCGTCTTGCCGCTGCACCTTACAGTATCCCTGCTAACAGCTCTCTGCCTTACATGCTTGCTTGCGGGCTTCTGTTTGCTCACAACCCCACCAGATGGCCGAGTGGTGGTACCAGACAGGCGAGCAGAAGCTGAGTGCATTTGGCTGCCATATTGTCTGATATCCCTGCTCACCACACTCTGCCCTGCCCTGCCCTGCCCTGGCCTGCCTGCTTCCCTTCCTCTCGTTCACCCCCACTCATCCGCCATCAGATGGCCGAGCGGTGCTGCACTGATTCCCCCATGCCCCCACCCTTAGAGACGTTTCCACTTATCGGTCCCCATTCCCCCATCAGATGGCCGAGCGGTGCTGCACTGATTCCCCCATGCCCCCACCCTTAGAGACGTTTCCACTTCTCGGTCCCCATTCCCCCATCAGATGGCCGAGCGGTGCTGCACTGATTCCCCCATGCCCCCACCCTTAGAGACGTTTCCACTTATCGGTCCCCATTCCCCCATCAGATGGCCGAGCGGTGCTGCACTGATTCCCCCGTGCCCCCACCCTTAGAGACGTTTCCACTTATCGGTCCCCATTCCCCCATCAGATGGCCGAGCGGTGCTGCACTGATTCCCCCGTGCACCCACCCTTAGAGATGTTTCCACTTATCGGTCCCCATTCCCCCATCAGATGGCCGAGCGGTGCTGCACTGATTCCCCCGTGCCCCCACCCTTAGAGATGTTTCCACTTATCGGTCCCCATTCCCCCATCAGATGGCCGAGCGGTGCTGCACTGATTCCCCCGTGCCCCCACCCTTAGAGATGTTTCCACTTATCGGTCCCCATTCCCCCATCAGATGGCCGAGCGGTGCTGCACTGATTCCCCCATGCCCCCACCCTTAGAGATGTTTCCACTTATCGGTCCCCATTCCCCTATCAGATGGCCGAGCGGTGCTGCACTGATTCCCTCATTCCCGCACTCTTTTGAGAGGCTTCCTCTTATTGCTCCCCGTTCCCCCATCAGATGGCTGAGTGGTGGTACCAGACGGGCGAGCAGACACTGAGTGCGTCTTGCTGCTATGTCATGCCATACTTGCACTCTCCCATGCCTGCTCATGTGACACCACTCACTCATCTACCCCCCCCCACCCCACTCATCCCCCATCAGATGGCCGAGTGGTGGTACCAGACAGGCGAGCAGAAGCTCAGTGCTCCCACTGTGTACCCTCCACCACCACCCCCACCACCGCCCAAGGCAAGTGCATTTTTCCTAAATACGTGTTATGTGTACATGGTAGTACCATGATAGTATGACAGTAAGCTCAGCGCTCCCACTGTACCCTCCGCTCCGCAATAACCCCCACCCCACCAACCCCAGGGCAAGTGCAAAAAAACGGTCAACCCATTCCCTTCAGCCAGTTCACTTACACGCCATTCCTTCGAACCATTCCCTTGTGACCCATTTCCTTCAGCCAATTCCCTTATGATCCACTGCCTTCATCCCTTTCTCTTACAAACCACGTGCTTCAGCCCATTCACTTATATTCCATTCCCTTCAGCCCATACGCTTACAAGCCACTCCCCTATCACCCATTCTCGGATAACTCATTTCTTTGTTACCCGTTCCCTTCTCTTCCCTTTTGTCTTCCCCCAGGTGGCCCCTGCAGGCATCCCACTGCCTGCTGACTCACCCTGTGCCTGCTCTGCCTCTGCTTCTGCTGCCAATGCCATTTATCCATTTCTCTCCCATTCCCATTCCCTCGTTTCCCTTTCTCTCCCTCCAGGTGGCCCCTGCAGGCATTCCCGTGCCTGCCGATCGCTCCCTGTGTCCGCTCTGCCTCTGCCGTCGCACCAACCCCACCGCCCCTGCCACCTCCGGCTTCATCTTCTGCTACCCCTGCATCTTTGCATACGTGGATAAGGTTGGTAACCCTGTAACCCAGGCTGCTGTGATTCTGGCTTCATCTTCTGCTACCCCTGCATCTTTGCCTATGTCGATAAGGTTGGTAACCCTGTAATCCAGGCTGTGACTCCGGCTTCATCTTCTGCTACCCCTGCATCTATGCCTACGTGGACAAGGCAAGTAATCCTGTAACCTGGTAACCCTGTAACCTGTGTTGAATCGAAACAGTTCTTTTCTGATACCCTTGCACATTTGCCCACGTGGACAAGTTTGTTGGTGCAATGTAGGATCAAAACAGTATTTTTCTGCTACCCATTCATCCTGCTGAACAGGATAAGGTAAGTAGCCTTGTAGTCCTTTTGTTTTGGTGAAATATTGGATGAAGCACTCATCTTTCGCCACCCCTGTATCTTTGCCTTCGTGGACAAGGCAAGTAACCCTGTAAGGTGTGATGCTGGATCAATGCAGTCACCGTCTGTAAGGCCTATGGGCATCTGCACCTACTTTTACAAGCTAAGGTCACCTACGTTTTGGCTCATGAGTTTGCGTATGGTTTGCATGCGCGTTGACATGATTCACATGGCGCTTGCATCCAGATGACCCGCCGTGGTCGTGACATGATTCACATGCCACATGCATGCATGCTTCCATCTCCTCTGCTGACTCTGTTCCTATCGCACTTTTCCTTTCTCTCCCCCCTCTTCTCTGCCACCCCCTCACCACCTCCCGTCTCCACCATCCAGTTTGGTCGCTGCCCCATCACCCACCACCCCACCACAGTGGACCAACTTAGACGACTCTTCCCCGACGCATAGTTCTCTACACCACAAAAAAGGCTTTCTTTCCAGCTTATGAGTAGACAAAAAAAACGAGGAGACAGGACCACCCACTTTACCCATGTATAACGCAACATATCGTGCATGGTTTCTAAGGCACGTGGGGTCTCCGCACGGGCATTAGCCACCATTCCTATCCAGCCACACAAAGGCATGGCGTTATGCACATATTTATTAATTGTGGTGGGGTACTATCCTCATGAGCCCAAACTTATCGACAAATAAGATCGAAGTACGACTTCAGTAGCACTAGCTTTCTATTGTAGTGGCAAAATGTCGCTATTTCATTGCCACATCCAAGCACAGTACGAAGCAACCAATAGAGTGCACCACAAAACATGCTCAAGCCTTTCTGTTTCCACCCACGCCGCTTGCGAACATGGTAGGCTCTTGTAAAGACTATACATATGAGGTAACACAGTCCGTTGATCTGTAAATCAGATAACTACATGACGAAAGCACCGGGGCTGCTGGCTCAGTGCAAAAAAGGAGTCATCCAACAGCATGAGATCACGTGGCGCTCCTTGAATATTTTCATGGAGAAGTTGGGGCATTTTGCGGAGTGGATCGATGGGTACCAGGAGTTTAGGGGAGGTCGCGCTGAGTTGTTGCTGTCAAACTATAAGGGCGTGTTCCTACGGCCTCATATCAGGAAACCCCGTATGTAGAATGTACTTTTTGCCTGGTAAAACTAGCAAGAGGTTTTGGGTTTAGGGGAATTTTCAGTGTGAGCCTGATACGAGGTTCTCTTGATACGAGGTGTAGGAACACGCTCTAATGCTGCTTATGTTGTGTAGGCTGTAGTGGGGTAACCTATATGGGGTACAACCCAATTTGTACTCAGTTTGATCCTTAGTTCGGAAAGATGCAGCTAGGACGCAGGACGCGCGTCCAGACGCAGGACGCACGTCGAAATTTTTTTCGGGCAGCCCGAAAAAAAAATCGATCGCGATTTTGGCATTCGCGATTTCGACGCGAATGTCGAAATCGCGAAATTTCCCCACCCCAAGCCCAATTCGCCATTCAAAACCAGCCCCCCTAACATTCCCTAACAACTAAACCAAAATTGAATTTCACTCAAACCTCTCAACCACTTAGCATCTACGAATCCCAACCTTTGTAGCCCACCACCACCAAGCACATTTAGCATGGCAACCTTTTGTGGCTTCTCATTTTCCCCTCACCAATTCTCTTTCGTAAACCCATAGAGGTTTTAGATCTTAGCTTAGCTTACCACCTAAACTCCGCTATGGCTTCCTCGAGCATTCCTTCTGTGAAATGTGTGACACGTGACTCACCTTAATCTCAAATTTTGGGGGAAAATTTTGTGGTATGACACCCCCCCCCCCCCCTCTCCCAAGCCCTATACTATTTTTTTTGGCCTGCCCGGAGATTTTTTTTGCCCTGCCCGGGCTTGCGTCTTTTGGTGCGTCTTACAGGTCAAGGGTCAGCGTCCTGCGTCTGGACGCAGGACGCGTCTTTCTGAACTAAGGTTTGATCTCAATGCAATCGTTCCTGCTCGTTAGTTTCTGACATGGTTTCAGAGCAGTAGGTCCGTAGGACCGTTTTTTTTCGGGCCCACCATTACTTAGTGACCGACTGCGGTTACCGCGTTACCCCACGCCCTGCCCTGCACTACGCCGTCAGCGCGCGCCCTGCCCTGACCTGCCCCGCGTCGCGCTGCCCCACGCACGCCCTGCCCTGCCCCGCGTCGCGCTGCCCCGCACATGCCCTGCCCTGCCCCGCGTCGCGCTGCCCCGTGCACGCCGTGCCCTGCCCCGCGTCGCGCTGCCCCGCGCACGCCCTGCCCTGCCCCGCGTCCTGCTGCAGCCCGCGCCCTGCTGCCCTGCGCGTCGCACCCTGCTGCAGCCCGCGCGTCGCGCTCTACTGCTCTGCGCGTCGCGCCCTGCTGCAGCCCGCACGTCGCGCCCTGCTGCCCTGCGCGTCGCGCCCTACGGCAGCCCGCGCGTCATGCTCTGCTGCCCCACATGTCGCGCACTGCTGCAGCCCTAGCGTCGCGCCCTGCTGCAGCCCGCGCGTCGAGCCCTCCTGCCCCGTGTGTTGTGTTTTGTTACAGCCCGCACATCGCGCCCTGCTACCCTGCACAGCGCGCGCCCCGCTGCCCGCGCCGCCCAGGCCGAGCCGCGCTGCCCAGCCCGAGCCGCCCTGCCCAACCCGATCCGCCATGCTGCTCGTGCTACTGCTGCTGCTGGTGGAGCTGCTGCTAGGAGTGTTGGAGGTGCTGCAGCTTAGACTCACCGAGCCGCTCTGCTGCTCTTACTGCTCCTACTACTGCTCGTGCTACTGCCTTCCCTCCGTACTGCCCTACTGGTCGTGCCTCCTTGCTTGCCCGCTATGACTTCACTTCGTAGTAGCGGTGGGAGTGGTGACGGCGGTGGTGGCAGCAGTGGGAGTGGTGGCGGCCGTAGTAGCAGTTGCTGTGGAGCTGTTCGGTGGGGAGTTTCTGGCGGTGACCAGATGCAGCTGCAGCGGTGTCCACGCGAGACCCTTCCGCCCCAGCAGCTTCGAGAGTGGTATGCCAGTAGGTGTGGTGGCGGCGGTTGTAGTAGCAGTCGCGGTGGAGCTGTTCAGTGCGGAGTTTCTGGCGGTGGCCAGATGCAGCTGTAGCGGCGTCTGTGCGAGACCCTTACGCCCCAGCAGCTTCGTGAGTGGTATGCTCAGAGTGGGGGGACTCGGAGTACTGTCCGCTGCCCATACGTCATTCGAACAGGTGATCGGGCTGGTTAGACTTGCGGGACAGTTGGTCACACGCACGCTCGCTGCTTCGCCTATCTGAGCGATGCCTGGCGTGCAGTGTTTGGCGACGAGGCTGAGCTCCCCAGCTGGCTAGAGCTGCTTCGGAACAAGGCGGATATCTTTGCTCTAGACTATGACACTATCCTCACTGCCATGTATGCTTTGACTATTAGTGCTCAGGGTGACTGTTACCTGTGTGTGCCGCCCGACCCTGGTATAGCGGCTGCTGCTTTTGGTGCTGGTGGGTGTGCTCTAGGTGCTGGTGAGTCTGCTCTAGGTGCTGGTGAGTCTGCTCTCTCTGGTACTGCGCCTTTTGAGGCCTTGCACACCTTCACGGTCGACTTAGGTGCTTCCCGCTGCTTCTTTCGGGACAGCACCACAGTCACACCACTCGCAGCACCGGTTGCAGTCTCTCTGGCTGACCACTCTGGGGGACCGGTTCATGCACGTTCCTCCACTGTTCTCCCGTGTCCGGCGGTTCCGTCTGGCTCACTGTCAGGTCTTCACCTCCCCTCGTTCTCTACGAACTTGGTGAGTAACGCCGTCCTTCAGGATGCTTGGGTTGATACCTTTATCCCTGGGGGACAACGTCTGGCGATCTGCACGTGTGCACGGACAGGCCGTCACCTGGCCACGTTCACCCGTCGGCCTGGGTCGAGCCTGTACACACTGACTACTAAGCTTCCTCAGGTAGCTGCGTTTGCGTCCGTGTCAGGTCAGCTAGCACGCTTTGACTTGACATACACAGCATGCCAACAGAAATCCACTTCAAAACAGCAGGTTGCTTGTCCTCCTTTCCACCGCCATTCACACTCACAGTGCAACGAAAACTCCTTCCTATCCCCTAGGAATCGTTTTTGCCACTTGAGATGTTGTCTTCGCACGACTGCCTTCTTCAGCCCTTGACTCTCACTTGGTCCCAATCGCTGCATATCTCCACGCATTTGCCTCCTTGTGCTCGACGCATTGCTCATCCCTCCTTGATGATTTACGCTACACCCTTCTAATATCATGTACGTGGGGAATCAACGTCGAACTTTACAGAATTTCGAAAAAAATGTAAGGTGATACATGGTACAATACCGTCATGCCACAATACAAAGCAGCTAGGGCTTGAACGTTGAGCAAAATGCACCAAATGCACCACGCCCGAATTCTCCTTCTTCACTTGATTGATGAACCTCCCTCACAATCGCTTACTCTAGTCTCCACCCTTCTTGTTGGATGCATTTTTTGTCAAACATTCATGCTATAGTCTTTCTAGGCTGTAGTGGGGTAGATAGTATGGGGTACAGTTTTCTAGGGTTGCATATTTGTACCCAACTCATTTCCTAGTCAATCATTCCTCTTTCTTCACATGGTATAGAGCAGGTTCCCTAGTGGGACCGTTTCTTCCTAACATTTTTTTTTTTTCCTAACCTGCCCGAAGCGCGCTTCGCGCTCTGACCTGCCCTACCCTTTCGCGGCCCCTTAGCGGCCTGCCCTGCTCCTGAGGCGCGTCGCGCCCCCCCCCCCTTTGCGGCCCCTTCGCGGCCCCTTCGCGACCCCTTAGCAACCCCTTCGCGGCCCCTTAGCGGCCCACTTCGCGGCCCCTTAGCGGCCCCTTCGCGGCCCCTTCGCGGCCCCTTCGCGGCCCCTTCGCGGCCCCTTCGCGGCCCCTTAGCGGCCCCTTCGCGGCCCCTTCGCGGCCCCTTAGCGGCCCCTTCGCGGCCCCTTAGCGGCCCCTTCGCGGCCCCTTCGCGGCCCCTTCGCGGCCCCTTCGCGGCCCCGCCCCGTTGCCCGTAGCGGCCCCGCCCCGTCGCCAGTCGCGGCCCCGCCCCGTCGCCACCCGGGTGTCGCCCCTGCCTCGTCGCGACGCCTCAGCGGGACTCGCGCGTCGCCCCCGCCTCGTCGCGACGCCCCTACGGGACCTGCGAGGCGCAACTCCTGCGCGTCGCGACGCCCCAACGGGACCCGGGCGTCGCCCCCGCTCGTCGCGACTTCCCTGCAGGACCCGCGCGGCGTCGCCCCTGCCCGCCGCGGCGCCCTGCCCTAACCCGCGCCCGACCTGCAGCAGCCGCCCCTGGCCCCTGGAGCAGCCGCCCTTGCAGCAGCCGCCCCTGGCCCCTGGAGCAGCCGCCCCTGCAGCAGCCGCTTCTGGCCCCTGGAGCAGCCGCCCGTGCAGCAGCCGCCCCTGGCCCCTGGAGCAGCCGCCCCTGCAGCAGCCGCCCCTGGCCCCTGGA